GACCTTGGAGGTCATCTAGTCCAACCCCCTGCTCAGGTAGGAAACCTTATACCATTTCGGACAAGTGGTGGTCCAGTCTCTTCTTAAAGACTTCCAGTGTTGGAGCATTTACTGCTTCTGGAGGCAGGTTGTTCCAGTGGTTAATTGTTCTAACTGTCAGGAAGTTTCTCCTTAGTTCCAGGTTGCTTCTCTCCTTGATTAGTTTCCATCCGTTGCTTCTTATCCTGCCTTCAGGCGCTTTGGAGAATAGCTTGACTCCCTCTTCTTTGGGGCAGCCCCTGGGATACTGGAATGCTGCTATCATGTCCCCCCTCATCCTTCACTTCATTAAACTAGACATACCCAATTCCAGCAACCGTTCCTTATATGCTTTAGCCTCCGATCCCCTGATCATCTTTGTTGCTCTTCTCTGCACTCTCTCTAGAGTCTCAATATCTTTTTTACACCATGGTGACCAAAACTGGATGCTGTATTCCAAGTGTGGCCTTACCAAGGCCTTGTAAAGTGGTATTAATACTTCACGTGATCTTGATTCTATCCCTCTGTTAGATAGATAGATAGATAGATAGATAGATAGATAGATAGATAGATAGATAGATAGATAGATAGATAGATAGATAGATAGATATAGGTAGGTAGGTAAGTAGGTAGATACATAGATACGATAGATAGATAGATAGATAGATAGATAGATAGATAGATAGATAGATAGATAGAGAGAGAGAGATATAGATATAGATAGAGAGAGAGAGAGAGAGAGAGAGAGAGAGAGAGAGAGAGAGAGAGAGAGAGATATAGATCAGTGGTTCTCCACCTATGGGTCGGGACCCCATTTGGGGTCGAACGACCCTTTCATGGGGGTCGTCAAACAACGCAGTCTGCCATTTTTTCCCCCCTTTTCCTTAGCTGTGCTGCTCCCTTTTATTCTATTGGCTTTTGAAAGCCAATAGAATAGACTCTCTTGAATAGAGTCTAATTCTATTGGCTTTCAAAGCCAATAGGAATTGTCCAGGCTGTCTCTGCCCTGCTGAGCCCGCCAAAAGTCCCATTCTGCAAACGGTGCTGCACCAGTTGAGTAGTCCTCGACGTACGACCGGTTGAGCTGTCCTCGACTTACGACCGGTTGGGGGGTCGCGGCATTAAAAAGGTTGAGAACCACTGTGATAGATAGATAGATAGATAGATAGATAGATAGATAGATAGATAGATAGATAGATAGATAGATAGATAGATAGGAGATAGAGTGATAGATAGATAGAGTGATATATAGATATAGATATATGTAATGGCTATAGAAAATGGCACCTGTTACACACATTTCCCTGCAAATAATAAAATGCAAATGTCTTTTTTTTTTTGACGCTAGGATATTTTGCATCGTCGATTCCGCAAAACCAGGGCAGGGAAAAACTGTCCAGTAGCTGAAACACACATTTCTTTGTCTTTGTCTTTCTTCCTGGTCCAACGGGGGCGAGCGAGTCCCTTCGGCCTAGGCTTTTGCTGGTTGTGAGGTGTGCGGCTTTGCTCGGGGTGCGATCCCTGTACCCGCAAACTCCTCTCCCCGGTTGTTAAGGCGGCCGTTAGTTGGGCAAGCCCGGCAAAGAAATTACTCCGATTTTTTTTAAGGACAAACCTCCGTTGCGGGGGGGGGGGGGAAGCACCACTGGGCCGACAACGACCGGGGTGTCGCTTTGTGAATTCAAACCGACTCAAGAGTGGTTGCGTTCGGGCGCCCAGGTAGGACTTGGGTCGGGATGCAGCCAAGCTGCGGGTGCGAGAGTTGCCGCTCGGGAGCAGAGGCCTGCACGGATTGTGTGAATGGTTGCAGTTGCGGAATTTTCCGTTGCGATGCTCAAAGGGAAAAAGGAAAGGGTTAAATTTTGGGGGGGGTGGGGGGAATTGTCATTCATTCGATCCGGTTAGGAAATGACGTTCGGAGGGGATATGGAAGCGTTGGAAAGGAGAATAGCCGCGATCTGGAACAGGGTGGCCCACCTTAAGATGCGTGGATTCAACCAAGGCTCCTTTGGGGGTCTCTGAGCTGAGTGGTTTTCTTGTGGACGTCTCGTAACCCAACTAGGGAACGTCATCGGTGCTAGAAGAAAGGAGGAGGAGGAGGAGGGAGGGAGGACAGACTGTGGGGTCCCTGGTGCTCTCTGAGCTGGGTGGTTTCCTTGCAGACGTTTCCTGACCCAACTAGGTTACATCATCAGTGCTAGAAGGGAGGAGGAGGAAGGAAGGAAGGAAGGAAGGAAGGAAGGAAGGAAGGAAGGAAGGAAGGAAGGAAGGAAGGAAGGAAGGAAGGACTGTGGGGTCCCTGGTGCTCTCTGAACTGGGTGATTTCCTTGCAGACGTTTCCTGACCCAACTAGGTAACGTCATCTGTTCTGTTCCGTTCTGTTCCATTCTATTCTGTATTCCATTCCGTTGCATTCTATATACTATTCTGCTCTATTCTATTCTCTTCTATTAATTTTTATATTCTATTCTGTTCTCTTCTAATTTCTATATTCTAGTCTATTAATTTCTATATTCTATTCTTTTCTATTCTATTAATGTCTATATTCTATTCTGTTCTCTTCTAATTTCTTTATTCTATTCTATTCTATTAATTTCTATATTCTATTCTATTCTATTCTCTTCTAATTTCTATATTCTGTTCTGTTTTATTCTTTTCTATTCTATTAATTTCTATATTCTATTCTGTTCTATTCTCTTCTAATTTCTATATTCTGTTCTGTTCTATTCTTTTCTATTCTATTAATTTCTATATTCTGTTCTGTTCTCTTCTAATTTCTTTATTCTATTCTATTCTATTAATTTCTATATTCTATTCTGTTCTATTCCATTCCATTTGATTCCATTCTTTGTCTCCTATTCTCTATTCTATTCTGTTCTGTTCTATTGTATTCTATTCTAATTTCTATATTCTCTTCTCTTCTAATTTCTATATTCTATTCTTTTCTCTTCTAATTTCTATAGTCTATTCTATTCTGTTCTAATTTTATATTCTCTTCTAATTTCTATATTCTATTCTGTTGTAATTTCCATATTCTATTCTATATTCTATTCTATTCTCTTCTAATTTCTATATTGTATTCTGTTGTAATTTCTATATTCTATTCTATTCTATTCTTTTTCTTTTTTTAAAATTTTTATTTTTCCTTTTTCACTTTACAAAAAAACAAAACACAAAATACATTTTTCCCTTAACAGTACTGTGTCCTATATCTCTTACATATATTTACAATGGTTTACATTACTTCTCGTACTTTTTTATTCCTCAGTTCTAACCAATTGTAACACTTGTTCCGTAGCTCATAAAATTCTGTTGCTTCCTTGTCCTTTATTTCGAGAATCAGTTTGTACGTCTTAGCGCATTCTAATATCTTGTGAACAATCATGTCATTTGTTGGTATGTTTTCACATTTCCAACGTTGCGCATATGCAATGCGTGCCGCTGTTGTTATGTGTACAATGATGTATTGAAGTTGTTTTTTCCATCTTATACCTAATAAGAATAATTTGGGGGTGAGTTCAATTCGTTCTTTTGTTATTTCCTGTATCCATCTCCTTATCTGCTCCCAATAAATCTATTCAAATTTCTATAGTTGGTTGCCCTGCGTCTGAATTTTGGTCACATGACCCCGGGACGTGGTGACCGTCGTAAATACGAGTCGGTTTCCAAACTTCTGAATTTTGATCACGGGGATGCTGCAATGGTGATAAGCCGAGGACCACCTGTAGTCCTGTCCCAGATAGAGCCACGTCATAAGTCGAGGACTTCCTGTACTCCTGTCTCAGATAGAGCTGCGTCGTAAGTTGAGGACTTACGACCAGTCGTAAATTGAGGACTTCCTGTAGTCAGAGCCGTGAGAACATCCAGCCTTAAGGGGGGGGGGACTTCCTCTCCCAGAATCCTCCAGCCGGCCTACTTTAAGAGAGGTGGACTTCAACTCCCAGAATTCCCCAGCCGGTATGCTTTAAGAGGGGAAGTCTTCCAGTCGTAAATCAAGGACTTCCTGTACTATCCCATATAGAGCCATGTCGTAATCGAGGACATACGACCAGTCATAAAGTGAGGACTTCCTGTACTATCCCAGATAGAGCTGCATCAAAAGTTGAGGACTTATGGACAGTCGTAAGCCGAGGACCACCTGTAGTCCTGTCCCAGATAGAGCCACGTCATAAGTTGAGGACTTCCTGTACTCCTGTCTCAGATAGAGCTGTGTCGTAAGTTGAGGACTTACGACCAGTTGTAAATTGAGGACTTCCTGTAGTCAGAGCCGTGAGAACATCCACTAAGCGATGTAAGCCAAGCACTACCTGGGCTCTTTTCCCAGATAGAGCTGCGTCGTAAGCCGAGGACTTACCACCAGTTGTAAGCCGAGGGCTTAGGGCTGGTCGTCAGCCGAGGACTTATTGTACTCAGAGCCGCGGGAACATCCAGCGGTCCCTATGCGACCCGTCGTAAGTCCAGCACTCCTTGTCATAAGTTCCTGTACTCATCATAAGTTGACTCCTCGCCAGTCGTAAGCCGAGGACTTACGCCCGGTCGTAAGTGGAGGTTCCTGTCCTCATAGCCGCAAAAACATCCGACGGTCGGGTAAATCAAGGACCAACCTGTACTACTGTCCCAGATAGGACAGTGTCATAAACCGAGGACTTAACGCCGATCGTAAGTCAAGGACTTAACACCGTCGTATGTCGGGGACTACCTCTCCTCCGATAGAGCTGGGAGAGCACCCGGCGGTCCCTCCGCGACCGGTCGTAAGTCGAGGGCTTTCTGTGTGAAAAACGGTGCTAAATCCCTTTTTTTCCGCCCCATCATAACTTCAAACGGTCACTAAATGAATTATTGTAAGTAGAGGACTTTCCTCTATAGGGTTCATGCTTTTTCCTCCATGTATTGGGGTTTACCTGAGGCGTTTGAAAGAATTTATTGAGGAGCGATAACGGGACCGCCATCTTTTTTTTTTTTTTTCCCCTCCATTTTTCCAGAACCTTCCGGAAAAATCTCGGAGGAAGACATGTCGTACAAAGAATTCCTCGATCACGACTCGTGGACGATGGATGACGGCCGCCGTTGCTTTGAGTCGCCGCTCGGATTTGAGCCGTTGGACGTGGCAGGTGAGAGAGAGAGAAAGGACAATAGCTCAGTTCCCTCAGAATCGCGGTGGTCGTTACGCTAGTCCTGTGGTCGTTAAGCGAACTGTGCGGTCGTTAAGTGAATCGTGCGGCCGCGAAGTTGAATCGTGCGGGCCTTGAACAAATCGGGCTGCCTCCATTGACTTTGACGGTCAGAAGCCGGCTGGGAACGTTGCAAATGTCGTCGTTCGGGAAATCGTGCAGTCATTAAGCGAAGGGAGGGAGGGAGGGAGGAGAGATATATAAGGAAGGGAAGGGAAGGAAAGAAGGAAGGAAGGAGATATATGGAGAAGGAAGGACAAAAAGAAGGAAGGATGGAATGTAAGAAGGAAGGAAGGAGATGTATGGGGAAGGAAAGACAGAAAGAAGAAATGTGGGAAGGAAGGAGATGTGTGGGGAAGGGAGTACAGAAAGAAGAAATTTAGAAAGTAAGGTAGGAAGGGAAGGAAGGAAGGAATATTGGGAAAGAAAGACAGAAAGAAGAAGTGTGGGAAATAAGATAGGAAGGGAAGGAAGGAAGAAAGGAAGGAAGGAAGGAAAATGTATGTATGGGGAAGGAAAGACCGAAAGAAGAAATGTGGGAAGTAAGGTAGGGAAGAAGGAATGATGTAGAAAGGAAGGAAGGAGATGTATGGGGAAGGAAAGACCGAAAGAAGAAATGTGAGAAGGAAGGAAGGAAGGAAGGAAGGAAGGAAGGAAGGAAGGAAGGAAGGAAGGAAGGAAGGAAGGAGATGCATGAGGAAGGAAGGACAAAGAAGAAATGTGAGAAGGAAAGGAAGGAAGGAAGGAAGAAAGGAAGGAAGGAAGGAAGGAAGGAAGGAAGGAAGGAAGGAAGGAAGGAAGATATATGGGGAAGGAAAGACCGAAAGAAGAAATGTGGGAAGGAAGGAAGGAAGGAAGGAAGGAAGGAAGGAAGGAAGGAAGGAAGGAAGGAAGGAAGGAGATGTATGGGGAAGGAAAGACAGAAGAAATGTGAGAAGGAAGGAAGGAAGGAAGGAAAGGAAGGAAGGAAGGAAGGAAGGAAGGAAGGAAGGAAGGAAGATGTACGGGGAAGGAAAGACCGAAAGAAGAAATGTGAGAAGGAAGGAAGGAAGGAAGGAAGGAAGATATATGGGGAAGGAAAGACCGAAAGAAGAAATGTGGGAAGGAAGGAAGGAAGGAAGGAAGGAAGGAAGGAAGGAAGGAAGGAAGGAAGGAAGGAAGGAAAGAGATGTATGGGGAAGGAAAGACAGAAGAAATGTGAGAAGGAAGGAAGATGTACGGGGAAGGAAAGACCGAAAGAAGAAATGTGAGAAGGAAGGAAGGAAGGAAAGAAAGAGATGTCTGGGGAAAGAAAGACAGAAAGAAGAAATGTGAGAAGGAAGGAAGGAAAGAGATGTATGGGGAAGGAAAGACCGAAAGAAGAAATGTGGGAAGTAAGATAGGAAGGGAAGAAGGAATGGTATAGAAAGGAAAGGAAGGAAGGAAGGAAGTCCTTTTGGTCGCCGGAGAAGCAATTTTTTGCTTTTTGCAGCGTCCTCGTGATAAATTCCTAACTAGCCTTGGAATAAAAGTTGAATTTCATCCAATTTCTGATGCAATTCAAGCTGGAAGGACAAGACAGGCTGTTGAGGCGGAAGAAATTAGAGCGGGTGCATTAAAGGGACGGAGATTATTCCGACGATGGACCCGTCTGATCTTCCCAGGAGGAAACGGGACGTCCGTTGGCTCCGTAAATCTCCTGAAGGATTAAAAAAAGAAAACGGAATCAAAGATCTCTCAGACTTAACAACGTGAAGGGGGGGGGGACTTCCGCTCCCAGAATCCCCCAGCCGGCATGCTTTTAAGAGGGGGGGGGGCTTCCAGTCATAAATCAAGGACTTCCTGTACTGTCCCAGATAGAGCTGCATCGTAAGTCGAGGACTTACGACCAGTCATAAAGTGAGGACTTTGTGTACTGTCCCAGACAGAGCTGCATCGTCAGTTGAGGACTTACGACCAGTCGTAAACCGAGGAGTTCCTGTGCTCCTGTGCCAGATAGAGCCACGTCCTAAGTTGAGGACTTAACGACCAGTCAGAAATCGTGGACTTCCTGTACTCCTGTCCCAGGTAGAGCTGCGACGTAAGTCGAGGACTTACGACCAGTCGTAAACTGAGGACTTCCTGTAGCCAGAGGCATGAGAACATCCAACAGTCACTAAGGGACCGATGTAAGCCGAGGACTACCTGGGCTCTTTTCCCAGATAGAGCTGCGTCGTAAGCCAAGCACTTAACGATCAGTCATAAAGTGAGGACTTTGTGTACTGTCCCCGATAGAGCGGCGTGGTAAGTTGAGGACTTACGACCAGTCGGAAACTGAGGAGTTCCTGTACTCCTGTCCCAGGTAGAGCCACGTCGTAAGTTGAGGACTTAACGACCAGTCGGAAATCGTGGACTTCCTGTACTCCTGTCCCAGATAGAGCTGCATCGTAAGTCAAGGACTTACGACTAGTCGTAAATTGAGGACTTCCTGTACCAAGAGCCGCGAGAACATCCACTAAGCGATGTAAGCCAAGGACTACCTGGGCTCTTTTCCCTGATAGAGCTGCATCGTAAGTCGAGGACTTACCATCGGTCGTAAGCTGAGGACTTAGGGCTGGTCGTCAGCCGAGGACTTATTGTACTCAGAGCTGCGGGAACATCCTACGCGACTGGTCGTAAATATAACACCCCCTGTCATAAATTCCTATACTCGTCATAAGTTGAGGACTCCTTGCCGGTCGTAAGCCGAGGATTTACGCCCGGCCATAAGTGGAGGTTCCTGTACTCATAGCCACAAAAACATCCGACGGTCGGGTAAATCGAGGACCAACCTGTACCCCTGTCCCAGACAGGACAGCGTCATAAATCGAGGACTTAACGCTGGTCGTAAGTCAAGGACTTAACACCAGTCGTAATTCGGGGACTACCTCTCCTCTGATAGAGCCGGTCGTAAGTGCAGGACTACCTCTCCTCCGATAGAGCCGGGAGAGCACCCGGCAGTCCCTCCTCGTCATAAGTCGAGGGCTCTCTGTACCCCACCCCTGAGGCTAGCGGCATGGTCCTTGAACTTACGACGCCGGCCAAAATCACGCCCCTCTTGATTGTCCTCCAGAGACTTTCCCGACGTCCCGCCAAGACGTCCTATCCGATCTTCTGTTCCTTCCCGAAGATATGACGGGATTCGGACAAGATTTGGCCGCTCCAAAAGAAGGCCAGGGTCACGACCTTTGGCCCGTCCTCGTTTTTGTGACCGGTCCTCGCTCGATTTGGCCGTCCGGCTGCAGCCTGTGACTTTCCTTCCCCTTTCCCCCCCCCACTTCGGTTGCCGGGAAGGGATGTTCTGCCCGGCAACCTCTTTTTTTTATTTTTATTTTTAAAACTAATGATGGGTGGGAGGGAAAGTAGAGGATGGATAGATGAATGGATGGATAAAAAAAGGAAGGAAGGAAAGAAGGATGGAAGGGTAAGGATTGATGAATGGAAGAAAGAAAGGAAAGAAGAAAGAAAGGAAGGGTTAGGATTGATGGAGGAAGGAGGGATGGATGAAAAAAAGGGAGGGAGGGAAAGTAGAAGATGGAAGGAAGGAAGGATGGATGGATGGAAGAAAGGAAAGGAAGGAAGGGTTAGGATTGATGGAGGATGGATGGATGGAAGAAAGGAAAGCGAGGGAGGGAAAGTAGAAGATGGATAGATGAATGGATGGAAGAAAGGAAGGAAAGAAGGAATGATAAGAGGATGGATGGATGAAAAAAGGAAAGAAAAGGAGGAATAAAGAAGGAAGGATCAGGATTGATGGTGGATGGATAGAAGAAAGGAAAGGAGGGAGGGAGGGAAAGTAGAAGATGGATGGATGGAAGAAAGGAAGGAAGGGAGAAAGGAAGAAAAAAAGGGAGGGAGGAAGGAAGGGTAAGCATTGACAGGTGAATGGATGGAATAAAGGAAGGAGGGAAAGTAGAGGATGGATAGATGAATGGATGGATGGAAAAAAGGAAGGAAGGAAGGGTAAGGATTGATGGATGGATGGAAGAAAGAAGAAGAGGAATAAAGGAAGGAAGGATCAGGATGGATGGGTGGAAGAAAGGGAGGGAGGGAAACTAGAAGATGGACGGATAGATGGAAGGAAGGAGGGAGGAAGAAAATATAAGGAAGAAAGGAAGGAAAGGTAAGGATTAATTGAGGATGGATGGATGGAAGAAAGGAAAGGAGGAAGAATGGGATGGATAGAATAACAGAGTTGGGAGGGACCCGGGAGGTCATCTAGTCCAACCCCCCACTCAGGCAACAATTCCTTTCCTCCTCCTCCTCCTCCACAATCATGATTATAGCATCTCAGCGTTTGTGATTTTCCCGGCCAGCTTCTGACGAGCAAACGATAACCAGAGAAGCTGTATTCACTTAACGACATGCAATTCACTTAAGGACGAATGTCGGGAAAAAAAACAGGGTTTTAAAATTGGCCGGAACAGAATTCACAGCCGTCTTGCTTTGCAGTAGAAGTTCTGATGTCAGTTGCAGTTGTTAAGCCTGGCTTAGCGACGGAAACGCTGTTCGGCATTGTAGTCGAGACTTGAGGACTAGCTGCTTTGGAGTGCAGCATAATTCAAGCTGGGGGAAAAAATGGGGTGACATCTTCTCCTCTCTCTCTCTCTCTCTCTCTCTCTCTCAGCTTCTTGTCGCCACCAAGTTTGACTTTGAAGGAAGGTCTCCTGACTTGAGCAGGGGGTTGGACTAGATGACCTCCGAGGTCCCTTCCAACTCTGTCCTTCTAATGATTCTGTAAGGGTCTCCTGCTTGAGCAGGGGGTTGGACTGGATGACCTCCAAGGTCCCTTCCAACTCTGCCGCCTATGATTCTGTAAGGGTCTCCTGCTTGAGCAGGGGGTTGGGCTAGATGACCTCCGAGGCCATAAATCAGCTATAAATCAGCTAAAAAGAAATCTGTTTTTTTTCCCCCCTCATTTTTCTGATCTCGGTTTGTGCTGGATCCCGCCGCCAAGGGAGAAAGCTGGCTTGTTGCAAACTCCCCTTTCTCTCCTCCAGGTCCCTACGGGACAGCCGAGTTGTCCGAACACCCGTCTCTGGGATTCACACATCCGACGGCCGCGGCTTTCGAACCCCTGTCTTTTCTCGGCACCGGGCCAATTCCCAGCCGAGCAGGTAAACCAACCAGGGCTGGAAAAACGGGAAGCGGGGGGGGGGGAGCGGGGAAATCCGGATGTCGTAACTCCGAAACGGTCACTGAATGAATGGCTGTAAGGGGGGAGGCCTGCATTTGAGTTTTTATTCTGGGTTTCTTTTTTAGTGAACTTAAAGCAGACAAATACCTGTAAATATATTTGTCCCCTTTCCTTTCCTTTCCTTTCCTTTCCTTCTTCCTTCCTTCCTTCTCTTCCTTCCTTCTCTTTCTTGCTTCCTTCCCTTTCTTTCCGTCTCCCTCCCACCCTTCCCTCCATTTCTTCCTTCCTTCCTTCCTTCCTTCCTTCCTTCCTTCCTTCCTTCCTTCCTTTCTTTCTTTCTTTCTTTCTTTCTTTCTTTCTTTCTTTATCCCTCCCCCCTTCCCACCCATTTCTTTTCTTTCTTTCTTTCTTTCTTTCTTTCCTTCCTTCTTTATCCCTCCCTCCCTTCCTGCCCATTTCTTCCTTCCTTTCTTTCTTTCTTTCTTTCTTTCTTTCCTTCTTTCTTTATCCCTCCCTCCCTTCCCACCCATTTCTTCTTTCTTTCTTTCTTTCTTTCTTTCTTTCTTTCTTTCTTTCTTTCCTTCTTTATCCCTCCCTCCCTTCCTGCCCATTTCTTCCTTCCTCCCTTCCTTCCTCTCTTTCTTTCTTTCTTTCCTTCTTTCTTTCTTTCCTTCTTTCTTTATCCCTCCCATTTCTCCTTTCCTTCCTCCCTCCCTCTTCCTTCATCTTTCTATCTTTCCCTTTCCTTCTTTATCCCTATCTCCCTTCCCGCCCATTTCTTTCTTTCTTTCTTTCTTTCTTTCTTTCTTTCTTTCTTTCTTTCTTTCTTTCTTTCTTTCTTTTTTCCTTCCTTCTTTTCTCAAAATTCCTTTCTTTCCTTCTTTCTTTTCAAAATTCCTTCCTCGCTCTTTCTTTCTTTCTTTCTTTCTTTCCTTCTTTCTTTATCTTTCCCTCCCTTCCCACCCATTTCTTTCTTTCTTTCTTTCTTTCTTTCTTTCCTTCCTTCTTTATCCCTCCCACCCTTCCTGCCCATTTCTTCCTTCCTTCCTCCCTTCCTTCCTTCCTTCCTTCCTCTTTCTTTCTTTCTTTCTTTCTTTCCTTCTTTCTTTCTTTCTTTCTTTCTTTCTTTCCTTCTTTCTTTATCCCTCCCATTTCTCCTTTCCTTCCTCCCTCCCTCTTCCTTCATCTTTCTATCTTTCCCTTTCCTTCTTTATCCCTACCTCCCTTCCCGCCCATTTCTTTCTTTCTTTCTTTCTTTCTTTCTTTCTTTCTTTCTTTCTTTCTTTTTTCCTTCCTTCTTTTCTCAAAATTCCTCTTTCTTTCCTTCTTTCTTTTCAAAATTCCTTCCTCGCTCCTTCTTTCTTTCTTTCTTTCTTTCTTGCTTTTTCTCTGAAAATTCCTTCATTCCCTTCCCTCCAACCCTCCCACTCCTTCTTTCCCTCCCTCCTTCCCTCTTCCTTCCTTCCTTCCTTCCTTCCTTCCTTCCTTCCTTCCTTCCTTTCTCAAAATTCCTTTGTTCCTTCCCTCCAACCGTACCACTCCTTCCATCCCTCTCCTTTTTTCCTTCCTTCCTTTCTTCCTTCCCTGCAACCCTCCCACCCTTTCCTTCCTTTCTTCCCTCCTTCCCATTCCTTCCATCCGTATTTCTCCTTCCCTCACTCCTTCCATCCTCCCTCTCCTTTCCTTCCCTTTCTCCCACTTCTTCCCTCCCTCTCCTTCCTTCCTTCCCACTCTTTCCATCCTTTCTTCCCTCCTTCCTTCCTTCCTTCCTTCCTTCCCACTCTTTCCATCCTTTCTTCCCTCCCTCCCACTCCTTCCATCCATCCCTACTCTCCTTCCTTCCTTCCTTCCTTCCTTCCTTCCTTCCTTCCTTCCTTCCTTCCTTCCTTCCTTCCTTCCTTCCCACTCTTTCCATCCTTTCTTCCCTCCTTCCTTCCTTCCCACTCTTTCCATCCTTTCTTCCCTCCTTCCTTCCTTCCTTCCCACTCTTTCCATCCTTTCTTCCTTCCCTCCCTCCCTCTCCTCCTTTCCTTCTTTCCTTCCCTCCCTCCTTCCGTTGTAAGTGGAGGACCAGCCGCCGTGTCTGACACTCTGTCTCTGCTCCGTCTTTCCTCCAGCCCCTTTCCGACCGACGGCTCCTCCCCCCGAAGACTTCTGGTTGGCCGCTCCACACCTGGCCGAGGGACAAGGCCCCGCCCCTTTCTTCCAATCCCCAGGTAAGATGTCAATCACGCTTCGGCCTGGCCAGGTGAGCCGCGGCTCACCTGGACCAACCTCAGGCCCGTTTCCACCTCTCCATCTGGGCAAAAAAACGAGAAAACCAAACAAACAAACAAAAAAAATCAGATCGGTGTGGCTGAAGACCTTGAGGACTAACCCCTTAAGCAAAAAAAAAAAAAAAAAAAAGACCTTGGAGGTCATCCAATCCAGCCCCCTACTCGAGCAGGAGACCCTTACAGAATCACAGAGTTGGAAGGGACCTCGGAGGTCATCCAGTCCAACCCCCTGCTCAAGGAGTAGACCTTTAGAGAAGAACACAGTTGGAAGGGACCTTGGAGGTCATCTAGTCCAACCCCGTGCTCAAACAGGAGACCCTTACAGAATCACAGAGTTGGAAGGGATCTTGGAGGTCATCCAGTCCAACCCCCTGCTCAAGCAGGAGACCCTTACAGAATCACAGAAGGGACCTTGGAGGTCATCTAGTCCAACCCCCTGCTTAAGCACAAGACCCTTGCAGAATCATAGAATGACAGAGTTGGGAGGGACCTCAGAGGTCATCTAGTCCAACCCCCTGCTCCAGCAGTAGACCTTTAGAGAAGAACACAGTTGGAAGGGACCTTGGAGGTCATCTAGTCCAACCCCGTGCTCAAACAGGAGACCCTTACAGAATCACAGAGTTGGAAGGGATCTTGGAGGTCATCCAGTCCAACCCCCTGCTCAAGCAGGAGACCCTTACAGAATCACAGAAGGGACCTTGGAGGTCATCTAGTCCAACCCCCTGCTTAAGCACAAGACCCTTGCAGAATCATAGAATGACGAGTTGGGAGGTACTTCAGAGGTCATCTAGTCCAACCCCCTGCTCAAGCAGGACACAGCATTAATCATAGAATGACAGAGTTTGGAAGGGACCTTGGAGGTCATCCAGTCCAACCCCCTGCTCAAGCAGGAGACCCTTACAGAATCGCAGAGTTAGAAGGGAACTTGGAGGTCATCTAATCCAACCCCCTGCTCAAGCAGGAGACCCTTACGGAATCACAGAGCTGCAAGGGACCTCGGAGGTCATCTAGTCCAACCCCCTGCTCAAGCAGGAGACCTTACCAGAATTATAGAATAATAGAGTTGGAAGGCACCTCGGAGATCATCTAGTCCAACATAAGGATGGAATACGAGGAAGGGGGGGCGACCTCCATTCATCCATCGTCCCAACCTTCTCCAGATGTTGGTTCTCCGGAGAACCTTGGAAGGAACCGGGTCCCACCAAGGTTTCCGAGGAAGTCCAAGATGGGGAGAAGAGGACCAGCTTGGTCCATGTGGGTCTTGTGAGGTGGAAACATCTCAGCTCGGTATCTTCTTCGCAGAGGCTCACAAGGTCCCCTTTGAGGTGGAGAAGCACCACCCTGGTGGAGATGAGATGGTCTTCTCCGGGGAGCTGAGTCCTCCAGAAGCCGAGCAGGCGATCTCTACAGGTGAGAGAAGAGCTGAGGTTCTCAAGAGTAGAAGTTCCTCAAGTCCCATCCTTCCTTCCATCTTCTCGGCTGGGCGTCTTTGGGTGGAGAAGATGGGTGGAGATATGGGTTGGGGTTCTCCTACCCCAGACTCCCGTGGAGAAGGGCGGTTCTCAAGGTGGGAGGGTTTGGCCTTGGTTTGGGAAGCCATCTTGGGGCGTGATCCACCCAACTCATTGGCTCCACTTGAGTAGAGGCCATGAACTGGACCACCATCTTCTCCACCCCCTTTGGCTTTGCCATCCGTCGTCTTCCCCTTCATCTTCTCCGTCCATCTTCATCTCCATCCATCCATCTTCTCTTTCTCCACCATCTCCTCCATCCATATTTTCCTTCTCCATCCATCTTCTCCTTCATCTTCTCCGTCCATTCATCTTCTCTTTCTCCCCTTCACCATCTCCTCCATCCATATTTTCCTTCATCTTCTCCATCCATCTTCTCCGTCCATCTTCTTCATCCATCCATCTTCTCTTTCTCCCCTTCACCCTCCTCCATCCATATTTTCCTTCATCTTCTCCTTCATCTTCTCCGTCCATCTTCTTCATCTCCATCCATCCATCTTCTTCTCTTTCTTCTTCTATTCTTCATCTTCTCCGTCCTTATCCTTCTCCTCTTCACCACCTCATCCATCCATATTTTCCTTCATCTTCTCCATCCATCTTCTTCATCTCCATCCATCCATCTTCTCTTTCTCCTCTTCACTACATCCATATTTTCCTTCATCTTCTCTGTCCATCTTCTTCATCTCCATCCATCTTCTTCTCTTTCTCCTTCTCCTTTTCTTCATCTTCTCCATCCTTCTCCTTCTCCCCTTCACCACCTCCTCCATCCATATTTTCCTTCACCTTCTCCATCCCTCCTTTTCTTCTCTGTCCATCTTCCATCCATACATCTTCTCTTTCTCCACCATCTCCTCCATCCATATTTTCCTTCATTTTCTCCTTCCTCTTCTTCATCTCCATCCATCCATCTTCTTCTCTTTCTCCTTCTCTTACTCTTCCTCTTCTCCATCCATCCATCTTCTCCTTTTCCCCTTCACCACCTCCTCCATCCATTTTGTCCATCTTCTCCATCCATCTTCTCCTCCTTTTTCTCCTTCTCCCCTTCATCTTCTCCATCTGTCCTTCAACTTCTCCATCCATCCCTCCCTCCCCTTCTCCCTTTACCTTCTCCATCCATCGTCTCCTTCTGCCCTTCACCATCCATTTTGTCCTTCCATCTCCTCCATCCATCGTCTCCTCCTTCTTTTTCTCTTTCTTGCCTTCACCTTTTCCATCTGTCCTCCTTCATCTTATCCATCCATCCATCCGTCTCCACCTTCTCCATCCATCTTCTCCTTTTCTCCACCTCCCTCTTCCTTTCTCCTCCTCCGTCCATCTCCTTCTTCTCCTCCTCTCCTTCACCTTCTCCATCCATCTTCTCCTTTTCTCCTCCTCCCTCTTCCTTTCTCCTCTTCCATCCTTCTCCTTCACCTTCTCCATTCATCTTTTCGGCCCTCTTCTCCTCTTCTCCCTCTTCCTTTCTTCTGCTCCTTCTCCACCCATCCTCTTCTCTTTCTCCGTCCACCTGCTCTTCCTTCTCCTCCTTCTCCTTGTGCCTTGTCCTCCATCCCTCCCTCCCTCTTTGGTTTTTTTTGGGGGGGGATATGGTACCACCAGGAGATCCCGCATGGCGTAGTCAGCTTTGATCTCACTTGCGGGCAAACGTTCGAAAGAGGTTAACGTGCCGTTGTAAACCTTGCGTTGTCGATGTCCTTCTCTAGTTCCTCCTGCCTTTGGGGCTGCTCTCCCTACCATGGAGGAGCTGATGGGCTTTCAACCCTCTCTGGACTACGGTCTGCTTCCTCCTCAAGGAACTCAAGCAGGTGAGCTGAGTGAGGAACATGTGGACGTTTCATGACCCAGCTAGGGAACATCATCAGTGCTAGAAGGGAGGGAGGTATGTGGGGAGGAGGAGGAAGGACTGTGGGGTTCTTGGTGGTCTCTGAGCTTGTCTTTTTTACTTGCAGACGTCTCATGACCCAACTAGGGAACGTCATCAGTGTTAGAAGGGAGGAGGAGGAGGAGGAAGGACTGTGGGGGGTGCTCTCTGAGCTGGGTGATTTCCTTGCAGACGTCTCATGACCCAACTAGGGAACGTCATCAGTCCTTGAAGAGAATAGTTGCAAAAAAAAATGAGAGCAAATCCTAGTTACTTAACCTCACTGATAACGTTACCTAGTTGGGTCACGAAAGGTCTGTTAGAAAACAACTAAGCTCAGAGGGCACCCAGACCCCACAGTGCCTTTTCCACTGGACGTCCCAGGACAGAGAGAGACAACTGGAGAAGAGCAGGGGGTTGGATTAGGTGACCTCCGAGGTCCCCTTCCAACTCTGTCCTTCTATGATTCCGTAAGGGTCTCCTGCTTGAGCAGGGGGTTGGACTAGATGACCTCCGAGGTCCCTTCCTGCTCTGTGATTCTGTAAGGGTCTCCTGCTTGAGCAGGGGGTTGGACTAGATGACCTCTGAGGTCCCTTCCAAGTCTGTGATTCTGTAAGTGTCTCCTTGAGCAGGGGGTTGGACTAGATGACCTCCAAGGTCCCTTCCTGCTCTGTGATTCTGTAAGGGTCTCCTGCTTGAGCAGGGGGTTGAACTAGATGACCTCCGAGGTCCCTTCCAAGTCTGTGATTCTGTAAGTGTCTCCTTGAGCAGGGGGTTGGACTAGATGACCTCCGAGGTCCCTTCCTACTCTGTGATTCTGTAAGGGTCTCCTGCTTGAGCAGGGGGCTGGACTAGATGACCTCCAGGGTCCCTTCCAACTCTGTCATTCTATGGTTCTCTAAAGATCTCCTGCTTGACAGGGGGATGGACTAGATGACCTCCAAGGCCCCAACCCTGTTATTCCATGACTGTAAGGGTCTCCTGCTGGAGCCGGGGGTTGGACTAGATGACCTCCTTGGTCCCCTTCCAGCACTTGTCATTCTATACTTCTGTAAGGGTCTCCTGCCTGACAGGGGGTTGGACTAGGTGACCTCCATGGTCCCTTCCAACTCTGTCATTCCACGGTCCTGCAAGGGGCTCCTGCTTGAGAGGGGGAGGGACTAGAAGACCTCCGAGGTCCCCTTCCAGCCCTGTTCTTCTATGGCTCCGTAAAGGTCTCCTGCTGGAGCAGGGGGTTGGGCTAGATGACCTCCGAGGTCCCTCCCACCTCTGGTGCTTCTGCTGTCTCTCCAAGGCACCTTTCCTCTTTTGAACCTGAACAGCCACGCGTTCCTAGTTCCGGCCGTCTGGAGGGACCTCAAACGGAGGCAAGCCATCCCCGACCATCGATGGTCTGGAATGGGGAGACCTGTAGAACATCAACCCACATCTAACCAGCTTCCGACCAGAAATGACGGCTGTTCTTTCTTTTCTCCCCAAAAAAACAGGCTTCTCGGAGACTCCGGTCTCCAAAGAACTAAGATTCGAGGACGAAGACATCATTGTCCTCCCTGCAGAGACCTGCCCCACCCTGGAGAAACCAGAAGAAGGGAAGAAGGTCCTTCAGAGTCCCAAGGGAGAAGACAGACGACATCCAGAAGACCCAACACTAATCAGGGTTCCCGCCCCAAAATTCGAGAAGGCCCAACCGTGTCTTCCCTTCCACGCTGGAGAAGAAGACTTGAGTCCGTTTCCCAGCTTCGAAACCGAAGATCTGGTGGGTTCTCCTACCCAACGGGGAGAGAAGAAGGATGAGAGCAAGGTGACCCTCGCCCCGCAGATGCAGGAGGTGACAAGTCAACGTTCTCCTGTCCAGAAAGCTGATGGACCTCCAGTTTCTCCTGCTCAGAAAGCTGATGGACCTCCGCATTCTCCTGTCTGGAAAGCTGATGGACCTCCACTTTCTCCTGGATTGAAAGCTGATGGACCTCCACTTTCTCCTGGATTGAAAGCTGATGGACCTCCAGTTTCTCCTGCTCAGAAAGCTGATGGACCTCCACTTTCTCCTGGTCAGAAAGCTGGTGGACCTCCCGTTTCTCCTGGATTGAAAGCTGATGGACCTCCACTTTCTCCTGTTCAGAAAGCTGATGGACCTCCACATTCTCCTGTCTGGAAAGCTGATGGACCTCCACTTTCTCCTGGTCAGAAAGCTGGTGGACCTCCACTTTCTCTTGGACTGAAAGCTGATGGACTTCCCATTTCTCCTGGATTGAAAGCTGATGGACCTCTACTTTCTCCTAGTCAGAAAGTTGATGGATCTCCAGTTTCTCCTGGACTGAAAGCTGATGGACCTCCACATTCTCCTGTTTGGAAAGCTGATGGACCTCCACTTTCTCCTTCTCAGAAAGCTGGTGGACCTCCACTTTCTCCTGGATTGAAAGCTGATGAACCTCCAGTTTCTCCTGCTCAGAAAGCTGATGGACCTCCACATTCTCCTGTCTGGAAAGCTGATGGACCTCCACTTTCTCCTTCTCAGAAAGCTGATGGACCTCCAATTTCTCCTAGTCATAAAGCTGATGGACCTCCCATTTCTCCTGGATTGAAAGCTGATGGACCTCCAATTTCTCCTGTCCAGAAAGCTGGTGGACCTCCACTTTCTCCTGTCCAGAAAGCTGGTGGACCTCCACTTTCTCCTCTCTGGAAAGCTGACACCCCTCCACTTTCTCCCATTCGGAAAAGTGATCCACTTCCATCTTCTCCCACCCAGCCTGCCGAGAAAGCGGAAGAAACCAGTCCATTCCTAGCCACGCCAGAAATCAAGTCCTCTTCTTGGCCCGCCCAACTCCCGTTGGACCTTCCTGGGCAGGAGAAGCTATATGAGAAGAAGGAGAACCAGCAGCAGCCTCCCGGCTCACCTGAAAAGCTGAAGGAACCAACGGCAGCTGAAGCTGGAGGACATCTCCCAGATCCTACAGGTAAGGAGAACTTCGACAATGGTCAACGCTTCGTGGTGGACTCTCGTCTTCTTCTCCTCCAAGCCAACCTCTTTCCTTCCTCTCTTTCTCAGTCTGAACTTCTTCTCTCACGGGATGGTCCTGCTCTTGATAGGTTATGAGTTGAGGGCTGGAGAACGTCAACGAGAAGGCCTTCCGTGGCATATTTAGGAGACCGTGTAGAAGAGAACAGAGTTCTCCAACTTGTTCCGGGTTGGCAGCCCGGAGAGGGGAAGTGGGGATAGTGCTGTGGACGGGACGGGTGCGTGTGCGAGCCCCCGTGAGGTCCGAGCCCCCATGAGACTTGTGCGAGTGGGGCTGGTAGCACCTGTGACGTTTGTCCGAGCACTTGTGAGGCTCGCGTGAGCGGGGCTGAGAGCACCTGTGAGGCTCACGCGAGCGCCTGTAACGCTCACGCGAACACTTGTGAAACTCACGTCAGTGGGCCTGAGAGCATCTGTGAGGCTCGTGCGAGCACCTGTAATACACAACACACTTGTGACTCCTGCGTGAGCGGGGCTGAGATCACCTGTGACGCTGGCGCGAGCACCTGTAACACAAAAATACTTGTGACGCTCGCGTGAACAGGGCTAAGAGCACCTGGGAGCTTCGCGCGAGCACTCGTAGCACTCACACAAACATTTGTGAAGTTCGCATGAGCCAGGCCGAGAGAATCAAGCTCACGCGAGCAACTGTAACACTCATGCGAACACTTGTGAAGCTCGCATGAGCGGGGCTGAGAGCACCTGTGAGGCTCGCGCGAGTACCTGTAACATGTGAATATTTGTGAAGCTCGCATGAGCAGGGCTGAGAGAACCTGTGACGCTCGCGCGAGTACCCGTGACGCTTGCGTGAGTACCCGTGACGCTCGTGCGAGTACCCGTGACGCTCGCGCGAGTACCCGTGACGCTCGCGCGAGTGGGGCTGAGACCATCCGGGATGTTTGTGCGAGTGGACCCACAAACATCCAAGACTCTCTTGCGAATGAGGCCCCAAACGCCTGCAACGACCGTGCGAACAAGGCCGAGTGTTGGCACGAGTGTGGTCGCGCACACCCGTGATATGCAAGTGAGGCTCTTGAGCGCTTGCAATGATCACACGAGTGAGCGCTCGCGCGCGTGCAGTTACACTCTCCTGTGATGTTCGCGTGAAGGCCCGAGCGTCAGCCAGGATTGTGCCAGGATTGAGCGCTCGCTCAAGTGTGACCGCTGACACCCGCGACTCACGAACGAGGCTGCGACGCTCGCACAAGTGACACCTCAAATGTTTTTGACACTCGTGTGAGCGAGACCCTGAACACCCACGATGTTCGCACGAGTCGGGCCTCGGGCACTTGCGCAAGGGGGTCCACGAGCGCCTGCGAGTGGGGTTGTGTGTGCGCGCACATGTGCCCGCACCACCCAGCCACTCACATGGTCCGGTTGCAAATAGGCTATGGACCAGTAACAGGCCTCAGTCCGCAGGTTGGAGACCCCTCACTTAGAACATAGAGCAGGGCTCTTCAGACTTGGCCCTTTTATGACTGGTGGGACTTCAACTCCCAGAATTCCTCAGTCGGCCATTTTGATGAAACCGCAGGCTTGGATCCAGACTCTCAGGGGTCTTCAAACTTGGACCTTTTATGACTGGTGGACCAACTCCCAGAATTCCTCAGTCGGCCATTTTGATGAAACTGTGGCCTTAGGTCCAGACCAGGGGTCTTCAAATTTGGCCCTTTTATGACTGGTGGACTTCAACTCCCAGAATTCCTCAGTCGGCCATTTTGATGAAACTACGGGCTTAGATCCAGACTCTCAGGGGTCTTCCAACTTGGCCCTTTTATGACTTGTGGACTTCAACTCCCAGAATTCTTCAGCCAACATGCAGTTTCATCAAAATGGCCAACTGAGGAATTCTGAGTGTTGGAATCCTCCAGTCATAAAAGGGCCAAGTTGGAAGACCCCCTGGTCTGGATCCAAGCCCCCAGTTTCATCAAAATGGCCGACTGAGGGATTCTGGGAGTTGAAGTCCCACCAGTCAGACTTGGCCCTTGTATGGCTGGCGGACTTCAACTCTCAGAATTCCTCAGCCAGACACACTGGCTGAGAAATCCTGGGAGTTGAAGTCCACCAGTCATAAAAGGGCCAAGTCTGAAGACCCCTGAGAGTCTAGATCCAAGCCTGCAGTTTTATCAAAATGGCCGACTGAGGAATTCTGGGAGTTGAAGTCCACCAGTCATAAAAGGGACAAGTTGGAAGACCCCTGAGAGTCTGGATCCAAGTCCGCAGGTTCATCAAAATGGCCGACTGAGGAATTCTGGGAGTTGAAGTCCACCAGTCATAAAAGGGACAAGTTGGAAGACCCCTGAGAGTCTGGATCCAAGGCTGCAGTTTCATCAAAATGGCCGACTGATGAATCCTGGGAGTTGAAGTCCACCAGTCATAAAAGGGCCAAGTCTGAAGACCCCTGAGAGTCTAGATCCAAGCCTGCAGTTTTATCAAAATGGCCGACTGAGGAATTCTGGGAGTTGAAGTCCACCAGTCATAAAAGGGCCAAGATGGAAGACCCCTGAGAGCCTAGATCCAAGCCTGCAGTTTTATCAAAATGGCCGACTGAGGAATTCTGGGAGTTGAAGTCCACCAGTCATAAAAGGGCCAAGATGGAAGACCCCTGAGAGCCTAGATCCAAGCCTGCAGTTTTATCAAAATGGCCGACTGAGGAATTCTGGGAGTTGAAGTCCACCAGTCATAAAAGGGCAAAGATGGAAGACCCCTGAGAGTCTGGATCTAAGTCTGCAGGTTCATCAAAATGGCCGAGTGAAGCATTCTGGGAGTTGAAGTCCACCAGTCATAAAAGGGCCAAGTTGGAAGATCTCCTGGTCTGGATCCAACCCCGCACTTTCATCAAAATGGCCGACTGAGGGATTCTGGGAGTTGGAAGTCCATCATTCATAAAAGTCCACCAGTCAGTTGGAAGTCCATCATTCATAAAAGTCCACCAGTCAGACTTGGCCCTTGTATGACTGGTGGACTTCAACTCTCAATTCCTCAGCCAGGCATGCTGGCTGAGGAATCCTGGGAATTGAAGTCCACCAGTCATAAAACAGCCAAGTTGGAAGACCTGCTGGTCTGGATCCAAGCTCCCGATTTCATCAAAATGGCCGACTGAGGAATTCTGGGAGTTGAAGTCCACCAGTCATAAAAGGGCCAAGTTGGAAGACCCCTGAGAGTCTGGATCCAAGCCCGCAGTTTCATCAAAATGGCCAACTGAGGAATCCTGGGAGTTGACGTCCACTAGTCATAAAAGGTCCAAGTTGGAAGACACCTTGGTCTGGATCCAAGCTCCCGGTTTCATCAAAATGGCCGACTGAGGGATTCTGGGAGTTGAAGTCCCACCAGTCAGACTTGGCCCTTGTATGACTGGTGGACTTCAACTCTCAATTCCTCAGCCAGGCATGCTGGCTGAGGAATCCTGGGAATTGAAGTCCACCAGTCATAAAACAGCCAAGTTGGAAGACCTCCTGGTCTGGATCCAAGCTCCCGATTTCATCAAAATGGCCGACTGAGGAATTCTGGGAGTTGGTCCACCAGTCATAAAAGGTCCAAGTTGGAAGACCCCTGGTCTGGATCTAAGCCCGCAGTTTCATCAAAATGGCCGACTGAGGCATTCTGGGCATTGAAGTCCACCAGTCATAAAAGGGCCAAGTTGGAAGACCCCTGAGAGTCTGGATCCAAGCTCCCAGTTTCATCAAAATGGCCGACTGAGGCATTCTGGGAGTTAAAATCCCCCAGTCATAAGAGGGCCAAGTTGGAAGACCCCTGACCTAGAGTCTTCTCTTGACATCTTGAGCTAGATCCAAACATCCTCCTGGTCAGCTCAAGATCTCCTTGAGGTGGACCTAGTGGCGTGGGTGGCGGACACCTCCACGGTCAACGTCAAGGACCATTGAATCCTTGGAGGGTTCCTTGATGTTCTCCTAGTTGTGTCGGGACCGGACCCGCGACGAAGGGGGTCTTCAGGTCTGTCGCAGGAACTCCCGGATTCTTTGAGGCTGAGAAGTTCTGGAAGTTCTTCTCGGAAGAACATCCTTTGGGCCACCGGACCAGGAGCTTCTCATCCGTGGGAAGAAAGTTCTCTACTTTGTGGTGGTCACCCAAGGTTTTGGTTTTTTTTTGTCTTCAGCAGTGTCGATGGGATCTCTGCCGGGGGAGAAGCCCCAGGTGGGACCTCCCGGATCCGTGGTTGAAGAGCCCCCGTTGGTCAAGGAATCCGCCGTCCATCCCGTGGAGCCATGGACAGGACCGGAAGGTGAGTAACGGAACGGAGAAAGTCTTCCTCCTCCATCCTCCCATTTTTTTCTCCGTGCCTTTCTCCCCACCGTTGCTACGTCGGTCGCTCCGATTCCCAAAGATTCCAGACGGAGGCCGCGGTTTGTTCTCCTGGTCGCGGTGGGCTCCTGAGAACTCCTGAGTAGCCGGACTTTTCCGAAACGGGACGCTCAGGGGGGGGGTCAAAGCTTTGGGCCAGGCTCAGGAGCCAGGTTGGCTTGCGCTTCCGCGAAAGAGGACTTCCGTTGGGGGCGGGGTCCACCTTGCCCCCGAAGTACGTCTTCGGAAGCGCGGGGATGCATCGGGGGGGGGCGGGGGATTCACACGTTCAGGGACACTTTGGTGTGTGGTTGGGTCGCAGGCGGTGTGGAAATCCCCCCCCCTCCCTTAAGTTGAGAAGGGAAGAATTGTAGAATGACAGAGCTGGGAGGGGCCTCGGAGGTCATCTAGTCCAACCCCCTGCTCAAGCAGGACACAGCGTTAATCATAGAATCACAAAAGAGTTGGAAATGACCTTAGAGGTCATCTAGTCCAGCCCCCTGATCAAGCAGGAGACCCTTGCAAAATTATAGAATGACAGAGTTGGAAGGGACATGGGAGGTCATCTAATCCAACCCCCCTGTCAAGCAGGACACAGCATTAATCATAGAATGACAAGAGTTGGAAGGGACCTCCGAGGTCATCTAGTCCAGCCCCCTTCTCAAGCAGGACATTCTTAAAGAATTATAGAATAACAAAAGTTGGAAATGACCTTAGAGGTCATCTAGTCCAGCCCCCTGCTCAAGCAGGACAGTCTTAAAGAATTATAGAATAACAAGAGTTGGAAATGACCTTAGAGGTCATCTAGTCCAACCCCCTGCTCAAGCAGGAGACCCTTACAGAATCATAGAACCGCAGAGTTGGAAGGGACCTCAGAGGTCATCTAGTCCAACCCCCCGCTCAGGCAGGAAACCCTACACCATTTCAGACAAAGTAGCCATGCGGTCTCTTTTTTAAAAAAACAAACAAACAAACAAACAAAAAACTTCCAGTGTTGGAGCATTCCCACCTTCCGGAGGCCGGTGCTGTTCCACTCCTTCGTTCTTCCCACCGTCAGGAATTTTCTTCCCGACAGCAGAAAGAGGCGGGCCGGGAAATCAAAGGACAACAAAGCTCATCTCCTCTTTAGATTCGTTGAGGTAGACCTGCTGGCTTCTTCCCAAAATCCAATCCGGGACGGGGGTGACCCTAGGGCTGGGATCAGCCAAAGCTTCCCACGGTCCCACAAAAGCCATCCGGTCTTTGGAGCGGACGTTGCTCGGAGCGTGAATGTGTGGAACGTGAGTCTGGGTCCGGGGTGGGTTTTTATCCTTCGGTGAACTTCCTGTATTCCAGGTGGAATTCCGTCTCCCCAAATAAGACACGCGCCCAAAACGGGTGACCACCACCAACACCGCCGGTTTGGCCACTCCAAACCTGTCCTGGTGCCTCTGGCCGATGCTCCAGAAGAACATCTGACAGGGTCTCCAACCCCCAAGAGCCACGGCCCACGTGGGGACTCCTTCTTCGCGGCCGATTTGGGCTCCTTCGGGGGACCTTCTCCCCGTGCCAAGAGATGGTCCAAGAAAGGAACAGGCCCGGCTTTGGAAGTGGTGGAAGCTTCCAGGGATCTACCTCAAGAAGGTTGGGATCCAGAAGCGTCCGCCGCATTGAAGAAGAAGAAGAAGAAGGCCAAGCAGAAGAAAGGGCAGCCACCACGCGGCGTGGACACGTGGGACGACAAGCTTAGAAGCTCTCCGGCTGCTGGTGAAGCTCCATGCCTCCTCCAGGAAGGTCCTAAAGAGGTCTTCTTCTCCACCCAACTTCCCGGACACGATCCTTCGAAGCTCGGTCAAGGAGGACGTCAAGCGGATGGCCATCAGCGTCCATCCCTTCTTCCGACGGAGGTGGAAGACCCTTCCAGATTTCCGTTGGATCCCAGACCAGGAGAAAGGAGCCAAGTCAAACCACTGGTGGACGACGGCTCGGCGTGGCAGCCCAAAGGAAGCCCAAAGGGAGAACTTCCTGAGGAGCAGAAGAAGCAGCTGAGAAGTTCTTCTTCTCCTTCTGGGGCCGAAGAAGTAGGTTCCTTGGAGAAAAACGTAGAGTTGGCGTCTGGGACCCCTCCGAAGACCTCAAACGTTGACGGGTCCACTTGGGAGGCCGACGCTGCGGTGGGGCAGAAGATTGAGGTCCAGACTGTAGACCCTCTGGTGGCACCTGACCAGGTTCCTGCAGAGTTTCAAGGTCTTGAAAGGAAAGAAGAGCCAGGAGAAAAACCCAAGAAACTGGAGGAGGTCTTCAAGAAGGGCGTGGTCAAGAGAGATCTCCATCTTCCTGCCGACTCAAACTTGACCGAAGGAACTTCTCTTCATCAAGGTGGAGAAGATACCTCTGGTGTCTCGCGGACCCCCGAAGAACGTCCACGGAGCCAGCCACCTGGTTCTCATTCTGCACAAACTCCATTCATGGTGGAATCCACCTCAGATCCTGCCCAACCCTTGTTCGTTGGTGGTGGCCCTGTGTTCTTCACCGACCCGACGGAGGAGCTCCTTGGTGTCCACCTTCCAGAACTTCCAACCGCTCTCAAGTTGGGGCGCGACCAGCCCAAAAAGAGAGGCAGCGATGGGAAAAGCAAGAAGGCAAAGCATCTCCCAGAAGTGGAGGAGAAGATTGGTTGGAGCAAAGCTTCAGCCGTGGTAGACGTGGAGGGCCTGGGCGAAATCGGTTGGACGACCAGGAACCCAGAAGAGACTTTATCCACCTCTCCAGGCGTGAGAGAGAAGACCAAGAAGAGATCGAGCGTGGGGAAGAGCAGAAAGTCCGAGGAGAGAAGCTCCTTCGGGCAACCGTTCTTCTCCACCGTGGAGGACCACCTAGCTTCTCGGCAGATGTTTGACCCAACCCAACAGAGGGGAGAGGAAGAAGAGGCTGACATCACAGCTGCAGATGGTCTGAAGCAACTAAGTCCTCCCCTTGTCCCCTTGAGTGAAAACATCAAAGGTTCTCCAGATGGACTCCTTCAAAGAGTTGAACAACTTCCATCGGCCTATCCCTTCATCTCGGAAGCCCTTGAGAAGCAGAAGGAAGACCAGCTTCTCCTTGAGTCGAAGGTCCACGGGCCGGATCAGAACAAGGGCCCACCTTTAGCCAGCCCACCTAGTGGAGGAGAGGACCTCAGCTTGGCGTGGGCCACCAGCAAACCCAAGAAGAGGAGCAGCGACGGGAGAAGCAAAGCATCTCGCCGAGGTCTCTCGACGGGACAACCTCTGTTGTGGCCGGAGAAGACGTCGGATGAGAGAGACGGGATGGTGTCTTCCAAGAAAGGCGATTTCGTTCAAGAAGGTCCTCCCGAGAAGAATCACGGGCTAGAACTTCCAGGCACCACCCAAGTGGACGTTCTGCTGGAAATAACGGGCGGAAAGGAGGAGAAGAACGTTGGCTTGGAGGCGTTGTCCGCCTCGGAAGAGAAAGCCAGCACTGTGAAGACCGCAGCTCTCCATGAGACCAAAGAAACACTTTCTAATGGGCACGAAGCTAACCAAGCTCGAGGTGGAGAAGGTCCATCCAAGCCACAGGTTGTCCTCCCTCAAGTTCTGGAGGAAGTGAAGAAACCAGAGACTGACCTTCAAGGTCTCCAAGTTCCTAAGGTCTTGGATATGAAGGCAGAACCATCTACTGAAGACCACCGAGGAGTCAAGATGGAGGAGGTCCCCACCTCCGCTGGTCCCAAGGAGGAGACTTCAGAACCTCTCCTCAAGCATCCAGGCCAGCTTCCCGCTGAGCTCTTGGTTGATGACATTTTTGGAGGACAGAAGAAAGGAACGAGTGGACCAGACGGGCCTACTTTGGAACAAGACACGTCGGAGACCGGGAGAGTTCTAGAAGCTGAGAGAAAGGTGAAGACCAAAGCGTCAAGATCTTCTCGAGAGAAGAAAGATGGCGGCTCCGATCTTTCAGATCCGCAACCCTCCCAGAAGTCCACGGAGAAGAAAAGTAAGAAGATCCCGATTGTCCCTCAAGAGCCAACAAAGGAAGACGTCCACCGTGAAGACCCTCGTAGGGGAGGTGGGTTGGACTTCCCCGTAGGAGAAGCGAAGGTCGTCGACGAGAACAGGAACATCCAAAGCTTGCCTTCCGGACGTCAGCTGCGTTGGGAAGAGGACCTCACCGACGTCTTTGACCCAGCTGGAGCTCTTGAGGACGCCCCCGCCAAACCGCGAGGCCCCACCTGCCCCTTTTTACAACGCTCCGGCAAGTCGGCCGACGAGGAACAATTTGGTCTCCCCAGATTCCTACCAGACGCCAAGCCGGGGGACCAGAAGATCCTGGAGGAGCTCCAGGAGAACTTGGCCAAGCTTGCAGGCCAAGAGGCAGAAGCTTCCCTGGTCATGAAAGCTGGGGATGACACCAGGGAGAAGAGGAAGAAGAAGAGGACCATCGAAGACCGTCACTTGAAAGCCGAAACGCATCACGGATCCGGCTCTGCAGAAAGCACAGAGCTTAAAGACCCGAGAGAAGGTCTTGGTCCACCAGGAATGGTGGTGGAGAAGCCAAAGATGGCTCCCGGGCTCGTGGCGGAAGGAAAGGGTTCTGTCGGAGAAGGCAACGAGCTCCCTACGGAAACACAAGCCCTCGTGGGCTCCGAGAAGGAAGCGTCAACTCTTCCAACCGCAGCGGCCGTCCTCGACGGTGGAAGTTCTCAACCAGGAACGGTTGCAGAAGGTCGAAGAGAAGCTGAGCCGAGGCCTGCTGACAGTTCAGGAAATAAGCTGAGGACCGATAACGTCCCGGTGGAGGAAGTGGCCAACCTCTCTTCTGATCGCGACAAGGATGCGGCCGAGACCGTCCCTCTCTTTCAATCAACCGACGAGGAGACCGGTCAGCTCAGAGAAACCACCGGCCTTCAAGACGCGGCGAGCTTGGGATCGGAAGCCGGAGAACCGTCGGCCTCAGCTCCGCTGGCGCCCGATCGTGGTAACGGAGGGCCACCAGGAGAGATCAAGAAAGCAAGCCGGACCAGATCTTCTCCATCCATGAAGGGCTACATGAGACCCACCAAGTCAAGGGGGCTTCCTTCGCCGAGGGATGCTGGGCAAGACCGAGGCCGGAGAAGACCCGGGAAGGCCGAGGTTCCGGGTCTCCCCGGCCGGCGAGACCAAGGTGTGTGCTTGCGATTGTGGCCGCCGGGCGCACCCTCCAGCTTGCGTGTGAGAACGTGCTCGCCCACCTTTTGGATGCGTTGACCCGAGCACCTCACCGACCCTTGTTGGCTGTTGGCATGAGCGCCTATTCCTGGCTGGGCTTGGGAGGGGCCGTGTGGCGTCCGCTTGCTTGAGTCGCCCGGGCCCGATCTAGAACTCAACCGCGTTTCTCCGCTTCTGTCTGTGTGTGCTTCTTTAACCTTGGTTTGCGTTTGCGGTGGGTCACTAACCTTGGGAAGGTGGTCATCCTCTCGGGCGAAAGAGACGGTTAGGTTGGGAGCGCCCGCTGAGGCGGTAGATCTCCCTCTAGCTCGGGAACCCCTTGAGGGACCTCTTGAGGCTGTAGACCACCTCCCTTTAGCTCAGGAACCCCTTGAGGAACCTCTTGAGGCTGTAGACCTCCTTCTCCTATCTAAGGAACCTCTTGAGGGACCTACTGAGGCTGTAGACCACCTTCCTCTAGCTAAGGAACTCATTGAAGAACTTCTTGAGGCTGTAGACCACCTCCCTCTAGCTCAGGAACCTCTTGAGGAACCTCTTCAGGTTGTAGATCACCTCCCTCTATCTAAGGAACCTGTTGAGGAACCTCTTGAGGCTGTAGACCACCTCCCTGTAGCTCAGGAACCTCCTGAGGAATCTACTGAGGCCGTAGATCTCCTCTCTCTAGTTCAGGAACCTCTTGAGGGACCTCTTGAGGCTGTAACCACCTCCTTCTATCTCAGGAATCTCTTGAGGAACCTACTGAGGCTGTAGATCATCTTCCTCTAGTTCAGGAACCCCTTGAGAAACCTCTTGAGGCTGTAGACCACCTCCCTTTAGCTCAGGAACCTCTAGAGGGACCTACTGAGGCTGTAGACCCCCTTCTCCTATCTAAAGAACATCTTGAGGAACCCCTTGAGGCTGTAGACCACCTTCCTGCTCAGTTGGAGTCTCGTTGACCTTGCTCTTGACTGTTAGGGACATACATTGGACTCTGCTGTCCTCCTGTCCTTCAGAGAAGATGTTTCCAAGAGAAAACCCAACCTGGATTCTGAGGAACATCTCAGACCATGGCAGGAGAGACTCGAATCGGAGTTGAAGGCCATTTCGTGGTCCAATCTTGAAATGGGTCACAGGTTTCCTCTTCAATCCGACCATTTTTGGAACCCAGAGGTCCATAGTGTCCCAGGTCCATGAGATGTCCCTGGTCACCATCTCTGGTGGCCCTTCTCCATTCATCTGGAGATGTTGAAGGTGGCCACCTGGCCTGGTTTGGTAACTCAGCTTCTCCTTTTTAAACAACCCGGGGACTTCCAAGTCACGTTCAGAATGGTACGGTTGGGACGTCTTGAGCCGGTCACGAAGCGAGGCGCACGTTTGTGTGTGTGTGTGTGTGTGTGTTTGTGTGTTTGTGTAGACCATTCAATAACACGTCTTTGCATGGAAGGAACGCCAGGGAACCCACGTTGCATCTTGTTGGACGTTTGTTGTCATGAGTTGTCACTTTGTGGGTGGGGGGGCGGGAGGTGTGTTTCCCGCACGGAATTGTCCCTCGGAGTTGTGCGTTTGTGGGTGTTGTGTGCATGGGGGAAGGTATCAGAAGTTAAAAAGAGGTGGCATCAAAACCGCACGGTTCTGTTTGCTTGCACACTTTTCTACAGGAAAGTCCTCGAATGAACGACCACAGGGGGGGGCGGATTTCTGTCGCTAAGCGAGACAACAGACGAAGTGAGCTTTTGCCCCGCCTGACAGCCTCTCCGGCCAGCGTTGTTAAGCGGATCTCTCCCGTCGTTAAGTTAGACAGGCGGTCCTTAAGCAAATGCATTGACTCGGCTGCTCCGACGGTCGCAAAAGGGGAATCACGGGCGACCGTCGTAAATGCGAGTCAGTGGCCAAGCCGGCCAAAGGTTGATCCCGTGACCGCGGGGAGGCTGCGATGGTCCTAAGTGTGGAACAGCGGTCCAGGAGTCACATCCTTCGGGGCCGTTCCCACTTCAGATGGTCACTAAACGAATCGTCCGTCGTAAGTGGAGGACTACCTGTATTTGAGCAAATTCAAGAGAAGACGAAGAGGGGTTTTAAGGGGGGGGGAGGTTATACTGGTTATACTGGTCCATAGCTTCCAGTTTTGAACTGGGGAGAGAGCGGAGATGGCCACAGCCCGGGTCACAATACCGCACAACGTCTCCTGTAGGTAACACAATCTGGAATTGGTCACAATGGGCAAAAAAAAAGGGGGGGGTCCCCTGGATTGCGGGAGGTGTCAACTACCCACAACAGGGTTTTCTCAAGCTTAGACAGTGGGAGATGGGTGTGGACTTCCACTCCCAGAATTCCCTGCTGGCTGGGGGATTCTGGGAGTTGAAGTCCATATATTTTTTAAGCAAGTTGGCTAAGGAATTCTGGGAATTGAAGTCCATATATTTTAAAACATTGTGGCTGGGGGATTCTGGGAGTTGAAGTCTATATATTTTAAAACATTGTGGCTGGGGGATTCTGGGACTTGAAGTCCACCCCTCTTAAAACATGCTGGCTGGGGGATTCTGGGACTTGAAGTCCATATATTTTTAAAGCATGTTGGCTAAGGAATTCTGGGAGTTGGTCCATATAATTTAAAACACTGGCTGGGGGATTCTGGGAGCTGAAGTCTATATTTAAAACATTGGGGGATTCTGGGAGTTGAAGTCCACCCCTTTTAAAACATGCTGGCTGAGGAATTCTGGGAATTGAAGACCATGTAGCTTAAAGCACGCTGACTGGGATTCTGGGAATCGAAGTCCACCCCTCTTAAAGGATGCTGGCTGACGGAGTCTGGGAATTGAAGGCCATCAATCTTAAAGCATGCTGGCTGGGGGATTCTGGGAATTGAAGTCCATATATTTTTAAAGCATGTTGGAGAAGGAATTCTGGGAGTTGAAGTCCATATATTTTTAAAGCATGCTGGCTAAGGAATTCTGGGAGTTGACTTCATATATTTTAAAACATTGTGGCTGGGGGATTCTGGGAGTTGAAGTCTATATATTTTAAAACATTGTGGCTGGGGGATTCTGGGAATCAAAGTCCACCCCTCTTAAAGGATGCTGGCTGACGGATTCTGGGAATTTGAAGACCATCGATCTTAAAGCATGCTGGCTGGGGGATTCTGGGAGTTGAAGTCCATATATTTTTAAAGCATGTTGGCTAAGGAATTCTGGGAGTTGAAGTCCATATATTTTAAAACACTGTGGCTGGGGGATTCTGGGAGCTGAAGTCTATATTTAAAACACTGGGGGATTCTGGGAGTTGAAGCCCATCCCTCTTAAAACATGCTGGCTGGGGAATTCTGAGAGTTGAAGACCATGTAGCTGAAAGCATGCTGACTGGGGCATTCTGGGAATTGGAGTCCACCCTTCTTAAAGCATGCTGGCTGGAGGATTCTGGGAGTCGTTGTTCGCCCCTCTTAAAGGATGTTGGTTTGGGAATTCTGGGAGTTGAAGTCTATGTAGCTTAAAGCATCCTGACTGGGGAATTCTGGGCGTTGTAGTCCAATCCTCTTAAAGCATCCTGGCTGGGGGATTCTGGGAGTTGACGTCTATGGATCTTAAAGGATGCTGGCTGAGGGATTCTGGGAGTCGAAGTCCACCCCTCTTAAAGCAGGCCGGCTGGGGGATTCTGGGACCAAGTCCAGGTCCAATTGCCCACGGTGAGAAACGGATGGCTTGAGGGACAGAGAGTAAGACGATAGCGAGCTATACAGATCAGAGCTTGTCTACATGCCGTCCCGAGGGATTCTGGTAGTGCATGAACCACGTCTGGGGGATTCTGGGAGTCGACGTCTGCTCGTCTTCAAGCTGGCCAGGTTGAGGTTGGCAATTCCTCCGAGGATCTGGCCTTCTCCAACCTCAAACCATGACGCCATCTCCTTCCCCTCCACAAGGTAGAGTTCAGTTGTCCGAGCTCGGGTGTGGTTGTGTAGCCAGAAACCCACAACGCAGCCTTCCTCCCCCCCCCCACCCCAAGCGTCTCCTTTAGCATCACCCCGCTTGACTCAGACGGCGCCTGTGGACACCGTTCTCCAAGGTGTGTGGTTGTCTTGGAAACAGGTTCAGAGAGGACCTGGCTTGTGTGTGTGTGTGTATGTGTGTGTGTATGTGTGTGTCGGTGTGTTGTCACGCAAAACCAGTATTAGCTCGAAGCACGGCACCGAAATAGAAGCTCGCAAGGCTGCCGTGGGTGGGAACCAACAACGGGCAACACAAGCCGGGGCGGTGTGTCAAAGCGGCCGTCGGTTCTGGGGGGTGGATAATGGGTCGGGTCGGCCTCTCCCATCGCTCGGCCTCCCCCAAAGCCCATTATCCCCAGCCGTAAAGCCCCACGCAGGCCAAAATCGGCTAAGTTCTCCAGAACTTTTTCGGCATCAGATTTGGTCGACCAGGTTAAGGAATCAGGCTAGAAATTGGGAGACGGTGAGTTCTAGTTTTTTGCCGTCGGCATGGAAGTGGACCGGCTGACTTGGGGCCAGTCACTAGGAGGCTGGGAGTTCTAGTCCTGCGGTTTTGCACGAAAGGTGACGGGGTGACTTTGGGGCCAATCACCAGGCGACAGTGAGTTCTAGTCCCACCTTTGGCACGAAAGTAGCCTAGGTGACTTTGGGCCAATCACCAGGCGACAGTGAGTTCTAGTCCTGCCTTAGGCACGAAAATAGCCTAGGTGGCTTTGGGCCAATCACCAGGTGACAGTGAGTTCTAGTCCCGCCTTAGGCATTAAAGTAGCCTATGTGACCTTAGGCCAATCAACAGGCAACGGTGAGTTCTAGTCCCGCCTTAGGCAGGAAAGTAGCCTAGGTGACTTTGGGCCAATCTCCAGGAGACTAGGAATTCTAGTCCCGCCTTAAGCATGAAAGTAGCCTAGGTGATTTTGGGCCAATCACCAGGCGACGGCGAGTTCTAGTCCGGCCTTAGGCATGAAAGAAACCTAGGTGACTTTGGGCCAATCACCAGG